ATAAATCCTATGACCAAAAGCAACTTGGGCAGGGGAGCTTTATTCCACCTCCCAGTAATCGTCCATCTGCAGGAACTGATGGGCAGACGAAGTTCATGCTGACTGAGACCAACCTGGAAACAAATAGCAACTGTATCAATTGCTTCTCTCATCACTGAGACAAAACATCTAACAGAAGCAGCTTAAGCAGGAAATGAGCAGGAAAAAAAATTGAGCCCAACTTCAGAGTCGCCCATCTGTTGTCGTGGAAAGGCATGACTAGGCAGCTCCATGGCGGCAGGAGTATGTGCCTGGAGGTTCATAAATGACCAGGAGGCAGAGAGCTAAAGGGAACCGAAGGCCACATAACCTTCAAAGGCCCACCCCTAGTGGCCAGTCCCTGCCAGTTAGGTCCTGTGTCCCAAAGATTCCACAACCTCCCCAAACAGCGCTACCACAGGGGACCAAGTGTTCAAACACAGGAGGGACACTGCACCCGCAAGGTGGCCTTACATGTGGGAAACTTTCGAACTGGATTGTCCCACGAGTCCTCAGAGCATCTCGGAGCAGAGATGGGGAAGAACCAGGAGAGTGTTCCAGAACAGTAGCCATTTGATTTGGGATTGAGTCTATGAACTTCTTCTAGCTGAAGTTATTTAGTGTCTGTTTGTTACTTTTCTAACTGTGTGTGGGTTTTGTGCATGAGCCCTGCAAGTGCACTTGCCCGTGTGTGCACGCGCATGTGCAGAGGCCAGAGGTCAGCACAGCGTGTCTTCCCTCTGACACTCTCCCTGGTTTTTGTTTGTGTGTTTGTTATGTTTTTTGGGTTTTTGTTTGTTTGTTGTTTGTTTGTTTGTTTGTTTGTTTGTTTTGAGACAGGAGTCGCTTACTGAACCCAGAGCTTGCTGATTGTACACTGACTCTCTAATGTTTAGTAAACCTTTTCCTTATTAAGCTGATAATCGAGTATTTTGTTTCAGTGACAGCAGACTAATACTATTTTAATCCAAGTATGCTTCACTGACAACTTTAAATTTGATCAAGTTCAATTTAGTTTTCTCTCTCGTTATCTATGTTTTTAGTGTCACATTAGAGAAACTATTACCAAATCCAAGAACTTAAAGACACT